TAAGTCATAAATTTGATTTTGCTTCTCTACAGTGCGCATACGCTTAGAGCACCATGCCACACAGCGGTTCACACATGTGAACACTCATCCCATAAAAATTTTTACTTAACACTTTACCGCCTTGCTCATTTTCGAGCTCATCGCGCCTGAATCATTCGTATTGGTATAAATGTGAATTTTTCTTTTCCCACCCAGCATTTACTTGATATCGTTTCAGCTCCTTTTGTGAATCATTTGAAAGTATTCCAAGAAATGAATAGCGGTTGGCAGCTATATAAACAACATGTCTCATCGCAGTTTTTATCCATTTTTGGCTCGTATAAGTGCAAAAATGACAATTTTTTTCTTGGAAATTTTTTTCTTACGAATAATAATCTCAGTAACAAACAGATCTTTAATGTCATTAGTGCCATTCACAGTGCATTTACTGCATTCCCCTACAAACATCAGATTCTTCAACAACTGGCCATCGGTTGGCGCAGCATCGGTCAAAGCAACTATTAGAGAAGTTGTAAATTTTTTGGTTGGGAAATCAGAATTATCCATATATTTCAGGAATAAGTGTTCGTTCATAGAAAATTGCACATAAAGAAAGAAACACTTGTTTTTCGACTGCCAATGTGCCAGTGAAATCGAAATATCCCAGCCGTCCGTATTATTGAGTAACGTTACAGGTACAAGCTATGGAATGGCATCTCGATGAATGGCCACTTCTTTTGACTGGAACAGTATCGGGCGAAGTTGGCGTTAGCGACTCTCGACAGTTCGATGGTTTAAAGCGTCACTGGACAGTCAGCAGTGAAGTTGAACGCTTGAAATGGGATCATTTCAATCCATTCTGCTTTTTCGTTGTCACTGATGATGGTTTGTCGTTCTTTCGTTTTTCTGGCAAAAATTTTTTTCGACGAAATTTTAAAAAATGTATTTTTCCACCGTTTAAAATCTTTCGAAAGATGAATTTTTCCACCGTTTTAAATTCCTCGATTTATTTTTTACTCTAGGGTATCTATGGTATACGGATAGCCGTGGCAGTAAGCCAATATTTTCAAAAAAAGTTCATGAAGGAGGCGCTCGT